ACCAGACGCACCAATGGTCGAATTCATCCTCCCCTCTTCCCCCGATGACGACGATGATGACGATGAGGAGGGTGGTGGTACTGATGATGACGGGCTCATCATGATCATCACCATCATCATCATCACCATCATCATCATCTTCTTCACCACCAACACCAACACCACCATCACCCTCCACACCATCGTCACAATCATCATCATCATCATCGCCCTCGTCCAATGCCATCACCATCGTCATGATCATCACCACCATCATCAGGATCCATCACCGCAGGGGGCTGATTTCCAAAGCCCCGTTGGCAGGAACAGAAGCCCCGTTGGCAGGAACAGACGTTAGAGCGCGGTCGCAATCACGATAATCACATGTGAAGCAGTGGACCTCCGAGCGTGAAGCTCAGTGGGATGCAGCCATCAGGAACAGCGTAGCAATCAGGCAGGTGTTTCTTCGAGCGATAGACGAGGAGATCGCGGCGCGGCTCAGATAGCATTAGGGCAGCGACCTACTCGACCTAGGCCAGTTTTGCGACTCCATCGGGTGGCTGATGGTCGGTGGAGTTGCGATGCTCGGTTTCCCGGCAGAAGTCTTAGGCTTGGATTTGGCGCGGTGCGTGGCGGCGCGGTGCTTGAGGCAGCCGGGCGCGTGCTCGCAGCCATTTGCGTCATTTCGGTCAATGGCGCGAGGCCCCCGCGGTGGCGCCGGTGTGGCCGAATGCGCCGCGTGCCACATAATGCAGGAGCTGACGACGGTACCTCTGGACAGGTCGCAGAGAATATGGATCGACGACCTCAGCCAGTCAATCAAGGGCACCAGAGAGACGATGCGCAACAGACTTGCAAGGTGCCTTGTTGGCACGCGTCGTTCGTTGAAGCGGGCTGGGCTTTCAATTTCATTCAAAAGCGTTGTTGCGTGCGCGAAGATGGGCGGCGCCAGGTGCATTGCACAGCGGGCGCGGGCTCAAGGGTTTTCGGTCCGTGCGATGCTGCGGGCACCATATCTAGGAGCTGACCTTGGGGGTGGGATCTCGGCGTGCACGTGCGTGTAGGTCAGCGCGGCAGGCCGTGCCCAAGGCCATGCGCAAGCGCATGATCAAATATGTTCGTGCGACTCGGCGATGCGGCCTCACGTCGAGGTTGGAGCAGCGGGGGGCACGTGCGGCAGGAGCCGACGGGCACCAGCTGCACGGTGTTTTCGGAGATGCCATGACGCATTGTCGCAGGAATTTAGGAAATGCGCTCGGGCCTCGGATTGCAGGATGCTGATTGACCGCGTTCATGGGTCTCAAAGCTGCAGGTGCAGACCCCGTTGCCGAGAGAATGTTTGCGACTCTGGGTTTCTTGTTTGTTCCGTCAGACGAGCATTCGGGATGGCGCGGCGCGGGCGTGGCCAGGTCTTGCCCGTGAACTTGCAGAAGCACCGCGAGCCCGACGTGCTCGACGCATCCGAGGGCCGCAGGGAGCAGTGACCAGTTGCGCATTGCAGGCGGTGGCGACCAGATTCACCGACGAGCTGGGCCGCGCCCAGCAATGGCGACGGGGGTGAGCACACCCGGCAGTTCGCTAAGGACAATCTCACGGGCGTCAAGAGCACCGACCTGCCCAGCGCTTTCTTTGACGAGTACGAGCAGACCGTGCAAGCCAGTCTGTGGCAGCTTGCGGCCTTACACTGAGGGTCAGGACTAAGCGGAGGAGCGTGCAATGAGCCGCGCCGTCGGTTATTCCAACAGTTGGAGGGGGGGGGCCGGGGGGGCGCGGGCTCGCAGTTCCCGCGCTATCTGTCGACTGCTGCCGGGGCCGCGTGGCCGCGGGTTCAACGGCAGGATCCCTCCGAACGTGAGCTGTCGCAGGATTGCCTGCGTTGTCGGGGACATCGAGAGACCGCCTTTCACCGGGCGTGGGCGCGCGATGGACGAGGTCGGCATGATGCGTGCGATTTGACGGAGAAGTTTAGGGGTGGGCTGACGCCTGCTTCTGGATGGGGGGGGGGCTCATCCCAGCGTCGCAGGGCGCCGAGTCCTGGGGCGCGACGGGGGAGGGTTTCGCCGACGGATGCATTGGGGGAAGTGCGCGGGAACGCCCCGCGTGCATATTCGGGGGCGCCACCGGCGACCCAGAGAGACGGGGCCCCACTCTGAGATGGGTGGGATGTGGCCTAGCCTGCTCCCGCAACCTCGACGACGACATGGCATTTTTCCTCGGCGTCTGGGGGGGCGTGCCTGGGCCGCGCCAGACGGTGACCAGGGGGGAGCTGCTGGCGTTTTTTTCTTGCGTTGCGCGGCGGCAGGGTGCGTGTGGTTTAGGCCGCGGACAATGAGAGCGTTATATGCAGCCGGCGGTGGCAGATGGGCGCGCGCCTCAACGACCATCCAGAGATGCAGCGCGCGATGTTATTCGTCCCATCGCACCTCGAGTCCGTGGGCGCGCCACAGGGCAGGGCGCCCAAGCTGTTAGTGTCGGGCAGTGGGCAGTGCCATGGCTGACGCCTGTGCGACGCGTGGAGCTGGCGAGTCGAGGGTGCCAGAAAACAGTCACACGAAGGTTCTTGCCACAGAACACAAGGCCTTCCTTGTTCGGATGAAGATTCTCCAGATCACGATTGAGGCCTTGGCCGCTGAGCAGGGGCATCAGAAGAGTCTAGGTGCGAAAGCTGCCCGCCGTGCCCGACCTAGACCTCCCACCCGCCTTGTGTGTGTGTGTGTGTGTTTGTGTGTGTGTGTGTGTGTGTGTGTGTGTTTTTCTGGTCTCAGCGCGTGATCTGCGACTCCAAAGACAGTGGCAGTTCGGCTCGGTTCGGTTCCGAAGTGGGCCCGGTTCGGTTCGCTCGGCGTCGGATTTTTTTGGTTCGGTTCGGTTCGGTGGTGCCGTTCGGTTCGGCCCGGTTCGCCATGCGTTTCGCTCCGGTTCCGCTTGGTTCGCTAGGGAGGGGGTGCCGGGGTGGGTTGGTGCCGAAGGATCCGAGGTGCCGGGGGGCGGTGCCGGGGGGCATGTGCCGGGGGGGGGGGGCCGGGAAGAAGGGGTTCTGGGGGGAGTGCCGGGGGCACAAGGCCAGGAGGGAGTGCCGGGGGGATGTGCCGGGAGGGGGTGCGGGGGGGTGCGGGGGGGTGCGTGCCGCGTGACGGGGGGGGTTGACGGGGGGGTGCCCAGGAGGGTGCCGGGGGAGGGTTTTCCTGTTTTGCCTCCCTGCCATCCTTCTCCTCCTCCTTCTCCTCCTCCTCCTCCTCTTCCTCCTTGCCTCCTCCTCCTCCTCCTCCTTCTCCTCCTCCTCCCCCTCCTCCTCTGTCTCCTTTTCCTCCTCACCCCCATCCTCGTCCTCATTATCCTCCTTCCCTCCTCTTCCTCCTCCTCTTCGCCTCTTCCTTCTTTTGCTCTTCCTGCCCTCCTCCTCCTCCTCCTCCCTGCCGTCCTCCTCGCTGCCCTCCTCTTCCTTGCCTCCTCCTCCTCCTCCTCCTCCTTCACCTCCTCCTCCTTCACCTCCTCCTCCTCCTCCTCCTCCTTCACGTCGCCAAAGTCAAGGTCCCGGAGACGTCCGGTTCGGTGCGGCTCCGTCAGGTTCGTCCCAGTTCGGTTCGAAATCTAATCCGGTTCGGTTCGGTTCGGTTGGAGATTGGGTCTCGTTAGGTTCCAGTTCGGTTAGGTTCCCGTTGACAAAACGTGCGGTCGGCCCGGTTCGGTTCGGCCGGTTCGGTTCGGTTCTTGTGCCTCCCTGCAGTAACTGCAGTAGGTGCAAGGGCACAACCACCAAATCTAGGCGTAAGGACTGGCTTTCCTCCTTGTGTTTTGAGCTCGTTAATGTGGACGGCGTTCTGTTTGAAACTCCCCTGGGCGGCGGGTACATATCGCAGTGGGTTTTCCCGATCGAAGCCATGGCTTGAGACATCACGCGGGGCTGGGGGTCTAGTTCTGTCTAGCGTGCGGGTTCCATGCAATGCAATCCAGGAGTTCGACAAAACTAGCGAAGCCGTGCGTTGGTAGGGTAGAGAAAATGCGCACTGATTACCTCGCTCGGATTTCCAAGGGTCTGTGGCGTAAAGCCTTCAGCAAAGCTGAGCTAGCCAAGAAGCAGAAATTGAGCGTTTAAGTTTTTTCCCTGGCCTGGTCGCCACACCCAGAACTCCAGAACTCCTTCTCCTCCACCTCCCCTTCCTCCTCATTCTTCTCCTCCTCCTCCTCCTCCTCCTCCGCCTCCTCCCTCTGGAACCATCCGAGGTACCGCGCGGCCGCCCGCCTCCCCCTACACCGCTAATTACCCCTGGCTCGCCTTCTCCTCTCGCGCCTCCTGGGAGGCCCTCGTCGCCGCCGTTGGATTCGCCTCGGAGCTCTGGTCAGGACGCACCCCGGAAGTAGTGGTTTCCTCAGTTGTCGGGAGTCTTGACACGGGGGTCAATGCAAACGGGGGTCAGCCAGAGCCCCCGATCTTGCAGGATCCTGCAGGGCCAGGGTCGCATTGACCCGGGTTTGGGTGCAGGATCCTGCAGGATCTTGCAGGATCCTTCGCATTGACCCGGGCTTAGGTGCAGGATTTTGCAGGATTTGCAGGATTCTGCAAGGGCTGACTGACCCGGGTCTGGATTGATCCGGGTCAGAAGGTCCCCGACGTTGCTGCACGGTTTTGGGTTTCGGGTCTTTCCCCGAGGACGTCTCGGGCGACCGGAGCCTCCGAGGTCCCAAGACCGTGCGTTGACGGGCCGCGCGGTGAGGGTTTTTGGGATTCCGATGTTACCGCGTGGTTCGTCGCCACACGGTTTTGGGGTCCCGAGGAATCGGGGTGTCGTGTGTCAGAAGAGCCCATATGTATGTTTCGTTGCAGCTCTCGAGCCGACCATTTTTTCAGCATGGCATCTGCGTGCTCGTCGTTTCGAGGTTGCGCGAGCCCCTGCTTTGGTCAGGCCCCTGATCGTCGGACAGGCACGCGTCAACCCCACGGGGCTGGGCAAAGTGTCGCCCCAGAGCCGTTCCTGGTCCCTCCCTCTAGACGGGGTCAGGGTCGGGGTTTGAGCGGCGAGGCCGACGAGTATGCGCGGAGGAAGGTGGAGGAGAAGGGCGTCTTCAAGGGGTGCCGTGCAGTGGCGGTGGTGCGGGTGCTGGGAGGCCGCCATTATTATACCGACAAGGAGGTCGGGGAGGCCGACAAGCCGAAGTTTGCCAAGAGGGTGCTGGAGGGCGAGTACCACAGCACCGTGGGGGACCGCCTGAAGCTGAAGAACACCTACCGGGAGTACGTGGCCTACGACTCGGCGTGCACGTACCTCGAGTTTATTCTGTATCTGTCCCCGCTCCCGCGCACGTCCGCTGCAGCGCTGCAGGTGAGGGGCCGGAGGCTTGCCGGGACGAGGAGGGCGTGCCCCCGGCGCGGGAGGCCCTGGCCCGAAATCGCTGGGCTCTGCGTCTGTCTCCACAGGGCGATCGCAGAGGGCCTTGCCGGTCCTGCGTTGTTCGAAGGCGTTGTTTTGGTTGGGGCGGGGGGGTAATCTTAAGGCGGGCATGTCCCTCTCCAGGAGGAGTGCTCAAAAATACTACAACAAATCGCATGGGATCGTTTTTTTTTTTGTTGTTTGAATTCTTGGACCATGTTCGCGCACTGTTCGACTACAGTTATAGCTTTCGTCCCAAGTCTGCCAGCAGGAGGGAGGACGCGCCCGACCTGAGGTGAAATGTTGTCATCTGCCGCTGTCTCGGTTCTGTTCCGGCAGAGCGGTCGACGGCTTGACGCCCGGGAGAGCGGACGTCGGGCAGGCGGCGCTGCGAGGCGCAGCGCGTGCGAACGGGGCGCGGCACCTCGCGCGGGCAGGCGGGCCACGGGCCGACCCCGACCTGGGCCACGAACGTGTCGAGCGTAGAGAGAGCGAGAGAGAGAGAGAGAGAGCGAGAGAGAGAAAGAGAGAGAGAGAGAGAGAAAAAAAAAAAGAGAGACAGAGCGAGAGAGAGACTGGGCCGTGCGCCTGGCCCCTGCGGCGTCGCTGGCTGGGGGAGCGCGCGTGCTGAGGCGCGGGCTGGCGGCGCGAGGCTGCCGCGCCCCCGCGGGCCGGCGCGGCGCGTGGGCGGCGGAGCCTCGACTCGCCCGCCGGCGCGCCGAGGGTGGTGCGAGAGAGGGAGAGACGCCACTGCGGCGCGGGGTCTTCGCAATGACAAGCAGAGGCTGCGCGGGGCAGGTGCTGGAAGTTCCAGCGCCGGCGTGCCGCAGGTGGGGCGGTGTCGTCTCGTGTTCGGTCCAAGAGAGAGAGAGAGAGAGAGAGAGAGAGAGACAGAGAGAGAGAGGAGCCGTGCACGTCAGAGGCGCGTCGGCAGGGGACTGCGGCCGGCGACGCGAAGGCCCCCGCCGTCGCCGGCCCCAGGCACAGGGAGAAATTTCAAACCTCGCAGTGCATCTCTCGCCAGATCTGGCAGTGCATACCCCACTTGAGAGCGAACAACACGACGCCCCCAGTACAGTCGGGGCCCTGAAGAAGGAACCCTTTTCGTTGGGGAGGGGCTCCGCGTTCCTTAAGTGTTTCGCAGCTTGCCTTCGGTTATCCCTGGTTTTCGATGGGACATCGAAGTTCACCTTATGGAAAAAAGGGGCCCCGTTCCTTATTTTTAGGGTTCCTTAGGTCAACGCCCCGGCTGTATGCGTTGGGGCGCAACTCCTGGGGGCCTGCATTCTGCATCGGCGCTGGTACCTCCGTGGTCGAACGCTGGCCTGATCCGGCATGACCCCGCTCGCTCCGGAGAAAGCCCGCTTGGGTGTTGCGAAGCGCCACTGGCCCGAGGCGCCCCCAGCGTTTCGATCCATGTGGGGGGCCCTGGGGCCCTCGGGGCCTCGTGAGGGGGTGCTCTGGAGGCAGTTTGCGCCACCCCGACAATCCTGGGGCCACCTTCTGCCATGGGGCACTTCTAGCAACACCCGACCCGCTGAATTGGGCTCAGTCCCTCGCAGTACTCCTAGTGTCTGGCTTGCTGGCCCCTCCATCGGGTTTACTAGCTCTTAACCAGGAGGCCTCGCGCGGCTCGTCATAGTTTGTACTATCTAGTCCACGCGCCGGCTCCGTGAGCTATGGGTCGACGCTAGCGCGGCGATGCTCCCGCGTCAGTCCGACGTAAGCCCGATGCAATTCCGACGCGGTCCGGCGTGAACTCGACGTGAGCCCCGCGTGATTCCGACGCAAGTCGGGTCCCAAGTTGCCGCGCGAGGCCTCGAATTGCTTCTCCCTCCAAGGGATCCGCGGAATTTTGTCTGGGTTTGTGTGTCCTCCCATTCCGCTGGGCCTCCCACGGGTCCACAGCGGTGACGACAATGGCGCAGGTGGCAGCCTTCCAAGGAGCCGCGAGGCTGCGCAACTCGCAGCCGCCCAGAGAACCGCGAGGTCTCGACTGGATTTTCCTCATAACGCGAGCTGCTTCCCGACGTTTTCAAGATCACCCGGGTGCAGGCCCGAGCTGCCTGCTTCGCAGGGGGGCAGCGCCGCGACAGGGCAGGGCAGGCCCGAGACGGGCCCGCCGCCAGCGTTGAGTCGGGCGTGTCCCTCCACAGGAGGAGTGTTCAAAAACAGAGAAAAACATCTGGGGACGATTTCTTGAGTATTGTTTTTGTCTTCCTTTTTCGTTTTGAGTTGTTTGGCTACGTTGTTTTGTTTCCGAGCATTTTCTTTGGGGTGGAGGGCAAAGGGGGAATATAAAACGCCGTTTCGATGGATTCTCGAGGCTTGAACCTGCAAGAGGTGAATCACAGGACGGATTGATTTTCGAGGTGCAGAGGCCCCTATGTATTCCACCCTGCGCCCTCCACCCTAAGAAAATGCTCAATGATTCTGTTCTGACTTTGTTTCGTTTTTCATCCAAAATCCGCCTGTAGGAGGACGCGCCCGACCTAACGCCAGCGGGCTGGCGGACTACAGGCGGAAGGGCGTCCCAGACAAGCACAAGTGAGTCGCGCAGGCCACCTCTCTTCTGCTCCTTCTTGCTTGGCGGAGGTGGAACAACAACACACACAGACACAACTCATCGTCGATTCCCCAGGACAATGTGAGAACATATGGGAAGCGGGTGGGAAGACGAAAGCCCAGAAAATATGAGGAAATATGGGGGATCCTTTTATTTGTGTGTATTTGTTTGTGTGTCCCAGGGCCCCTTCACTGACGGAGGTGGGGGCTACAGGGAAAACGCGGCGGTACGTTAGTGGAAGTTTTTCTCGGTTCCCATACAGTCGACCAGCAGAGTAAAGACAGGCATCCCTCCCAAGCGTACCCTTGCATCCTTGCTTCCTGGGTCCATCCTCGGACACTTTCGTTGGCCGCGCCCCGGTCGAAACGCTTCGAATTGGGCGTCCAAGGGCCTTGCATCCTTATCGCGCATCCTTACTCTGCGGGTTGACTGTACGTTTTTCAGATTTCGGATGCTCTCCAGCAGTTGGTGCCGGGGGAGCTCGGATCCCGAACGGCCGCTGGGGACCCGAGTTATGGCCCGCACACCAGACTGGAGGACTAAGACCACCACCTCCTTTCGTGGTGAACACTCGCGACGAGAGGTTTTTGACAGATTTTGGCCTCTGGGGTCCTCACCAGGCCCGCGGGCTGTCAAAAGGTGGCTCAGGATGAGAAGCCGGTCTTAGAGAGGGGGTCCCAAATTCTAGACGCTTCGTGTTCCCACCAGCCTGGCACGGAATGCCCCTGCTTGCACGGCGTTCGACTCGCTTCGCGCGTCCGCGTACCAAAAAGTATCCCCACCAGCCCATCCAGAAACGATGTCCAGGCGAGTTGAGGTGATCAGGTTAGTGCGGGAGCAAAGAGTGGGACGGCCGAACCGTGCGAAGGAGGAGAAGGAGGAGGCTGGATGAATGGATGAGGGAGTGGGGGGAAGGAGGATGAATAGGATGAGGAGGATGATGATGAGGAGGAGGAGGAAGATAATGAGTAGGAGGAGGAAGGAGGAGCAAGAGGAGGAGGGCAAACAAAAGGGCCAGAGTTCTCTTGGATGCCTCTCGGAGCCTCTTGGGGTATCTCTTGGGCGCTTCTTGGTGGCCTCTTGGGACGTCTTAGGGGTCTCTTTGCGGTCCTGCGGGGCTCTTGGGCGTCTTGGGTGCCTCGGGGAGGCATCTTGGGGCCGCTTGGGGTCCTCTTGGGGGCCTCCTGGGGGCCTCGTGGGGGGGGCCTCTTGGTGCCATCTTGGGGCCAGCTTGGAACCTCTTGGGGCTTCCTCGGCGCCTTCTGGGGTCATCTTGGAGGAGATCTATCAAAGAAGAGGGGGGTGGGGGCAATTAGCGCTGCCCGTCCATGAGGCCAAAAGGAGGCCAAAACTCATGAGTAAAACCAGTGATTTTGGCTTCCTCGCCGAGGCCGTTTTGGGCGCCCTGACTGCCCGCGACCGGCCCCGTCCAGGTCCAAGGGGAGGGGGCAGGGGGAGGGGTAGACCAATCCCCGAAGGGGAAGAGGGAGGGGTGGAAGCGGAAACTCCTAGACCACCTACGCCCGGAGGGCTGGTGGGATTTCTGGGGGCCCACATTGTGAACAAGCTCGCGGCGTAGGAGTGCTGAGGAGGAGGAGGAGGAGGAGGAGGAGGAGGAGGAGGAGGAGGAGGAGGAGGAGGAGGAGGGGGACGAAGGAGGAGGAGGAGGATGAGGAGGATAGGAGGAGGAGGAGGAGGAGGAGGAGGGAGGAGGAGAGGAGGAGGAAGAGGAGGAGGAGGAGGAGAGGAGGAGGAGGAGGAGGAGGGGAGGAGGAGGAGGAGGAGGAGGAGGAGGAGGAGGAGGAGGAGGAGGAGGAGGACAGAGGAGGCGGAGCAGGAGGAGGAGGAGGACCAGTGCAAACCCACGACGCATCAACGATACTACATTAAGCCCTCCCTCCACGTTCCGTCTTCACAGGGCCCGGCAGGAAAATATTTCCCAAACGGGGCTTGCATTGGGCTCGTTTTTCTGGTCTCAGGAACAGGGCCTGGGTGGCGGTCTGGCGGCTATGTTGCCGCCGCCGCTGCCCCGTCGCCGCCTCGTCGCCGTCATCTGTCTGGGCCTGGCTTGCGGTCTGGCGGCGGCGACCGCCCCGTCGCCGCCCGGAGCGCACACCATGCACTGCACCGAACACGCTGAACCACATGGCATTGCACCACATCGACGGCGAGGGCGGCGGTCGAGCGCTCGCGCGCGCGGCCGCCGCTCCACTGCGCCAGCGGGCAACCGCGGCCCGCCGAGGTGGCCAGCGCAGGCGAGCGCGGCCGGACGCCGAAGCCCTGCGGGCAGGCTCGGCGCCCTCGCGCCTCCGGCGCGCGGGCGCAGCACAGGAGCTCCCAGGGGCGCGCCCGGGCCGCGAGAGAGAAAGCCGTGGGCGACGACGACGACGACGACGACGACGACGTTGACCCTTTCTGGCCCCGTGTCCCCGCGCCTGCCGAAGACGCTGCCGGTGGGAGCCCGTCGGCGACGAGCAGCACGCTGGCAGCTTGCACGCTGACAGCCTGCGTGCTGGCAGCCTGCGCCCGAGCAGCAGTTGCACGCCGCCCGTGGGGGGGCCCGTCGGCGGGTTGTGCTCCTTCGCTTTGGTCCGACTTACCAGCCTCGAACTTATCCCTATCCCTAAGATTGACACGTCAAAAGGCGATGACAATCTTAGGGATGCGCCCTCAAACAATAGGGTAATCCCTAAGATTGTCATCGTGATGGAGCGATGCCCAGCATAGGGATAGGGATATGTTCCAGGCTGGTAACCGACGGCAGCACGCTGCTGGCTCCCCCCGGCAGCGTGCCACTGCTATCGGGGGTGGACAGACCTCCCCTGGCACGCCGATCTGCGAATTGGCCGTTTTCGGTTCGCGAGAGGGCGCCGCGGCCGCCGCTTTTGCGGGTCCAGGTCCGTCGGTTTCGGTCCCAGGCCGTTTTCACTGAGGGGAGGTTTGCTAAAGGGAGGTTTGTCCACCGCCGATGCTACTGCTTTTATGGTCTTCCATACGCGCACACGGTGGTCAGCATTGCTGGGCCTGTCCCGAGGAAGAGCAGCCCGCCATGCACAGACGCTTTTTTCGTAAAGGGGCCCGGGGACACACAGATAGAGAAACACAGATCCCAGGATTCCCTGCATTTTACTCTACCTTCTGGGTCTTCGTCTTCCCCCCCTTCCCATATTTTCCCACATCTTCCTGGGAGTCGACGAGTAATAATTGTGTCTGTGTGTTTTTGGCCCACCTAATTTTGGAGGTCCGCGCGGATTTCTCGCTTCGGCGCTAGGTTTCCCCAGCAGCCCCCCCGCGCCGCGGCGCTCCCCCCCGCGCGCTCTGCGCTCAAGGAAGGAGCGTCTGGCACCGATCCAAGACGTACGCGCGGACTTCTGGAAGCTTCTGCCCGGAGATCCGACGGCGCGAA